CGATCGTGAATAAACGATACGTTTTTGAATTATGTGTTCGGTTGCATATATGTATAGTTTCATAGAGCAACACAGTTTACTTTGTGTTCGCCTCTTGTAATGTGCTAGTGTTTGCTACCAACCTGATCACTCTGAGAACGGAAAGGATGTTGGGGTGATGGTTATGAAAAGGAGAAACTGTAAGGGCTTTGTAGAGCTTCTCAAGAATTATAACAGCCTCAAGCTTTTCGATCCTTCTGCCGGTATCAATCGCTTCTGTTACGATGGAAGGAGGTTGAGAAGCAACTGATGCCTCATTGGTGGGTTCCATGTGCCCCCCAAGCTCTGTGTGAGGAGCTTTGCATCACAGAGGATAGGACGAGCGACAAGGAACGTGTCAATCACCAGGCTGCAAAGTGCGCGAACAAATGAGATTACTGATTCACCAGGTAGTTGAGTGCAGGTCTGGAATTCGTAGATATACTTTGTTTCATGAAAGCAGTCTATGAGTCTTTCCCGTTGGCATTTTAGGGTGTCTGGTGTGATGATTGTATCGAGGAAACCTTCTTCCTGAACAGTGTCATTAAGCTCACCTTCTATTAGGCATATGAGCACAAATTTGCTGTCGGTAGTGGAAATAAATCAACATGCTTTTGCGTTGTTTAGGCCCAGCGATGGAAACCGTCACCCATTTAAAATTTTGGGGCTAGGGGGATGGTTCGATAGGTTGAATCGATACAGTTTTGGCGCAGGTGTCGGACGAGAAGAAGATGAGGAAGTTTGAACCCATTTTCCAATCAGAGGCAGTGCCTTCCTTGAAGTCCTTTTGATATTATGAGGCATCGTTCTCGAGGGGTCGCGAAATCTTTAGTTTTATAGTGCTCCTTACCAAGCCGATCGAAGTGTTCCATTTAAGAATATGAAATTGACAACAATGACTCGAGTTATCTTTAGTACAGTTAATGTGACTCCAGGTCTCAATCACTGGTAAAACCACAGAATAGTTTAGGGAAAGCACTGGGTTTAGTTCCGCAACAGGTTCCCTATGATTCAACGCGGCTTGCGGGGAACGCCTTCAAAAGTATCGAAAAACGATAATGCTTTTCATTTTAATGAAACATATCGGTCCTCGCTCTGGTTGTCTTTGACCACGCAGTGCTCTTCTTCGGGTTTTCCCGTCAGATTCGTGATGAAACACCTGGAAGACAATGTTGAGAAAGCTACAGCTACCGCTGATTTGTTTGGTCTGCCTCGATGTCCCTCTTTATAGCCTATTTCTTATCGCGTTCTAGTTTGGGTTGAGTCCTTTAGCCTGGATGACATAGACAAAAACATTTTATGATATAAAAGGTATATTTCACGACGATTTTTGTGAGGAATGCATGGATGCATGAACAGATCGCACAACATATTGTAGAACATCAAGGTTAAAAGAGCTAGTGAGGTAGAAAGAATGAAAGGTAATCGTCTATTCAAGCGACAAACAACACGGACCACAAAACGAACAATGGACGTTTGATTGATTCAAAAATCAATAGGAAAGAACAATGTAATCAAGATAGCTCATTTCTGCTGCTCTGTATTTTCGTAAGTACATAGGCAATAATAAAAAGACGGAGGAAAAATGGAAAATAATTGGAGCTGCAGCATTGACTGATTCAGATCTTACATCTCAATGGAACGTTGTATTCATCAATGAGTAAGAGTCAAGACATGAAATGGATACGACGTATACGAGAAACACGGTATAGGATGTCATTTGATGTAAGTCTCTTCTCTCAAACTGCGTTAACCTTTGAATACTGCGAATTCAGGTCAGGTCAGGTCAGGTTTCTAGGACGAAAACAGGCTTTCGCCTAACGTGCGTCCAGATTCATACACCAGTAGGATTTGGGACTTCCTCTGGTGCTACGACGTGAATATTTTTTTCGTGAGTTGTCATGATTCGTTAACCTTCTCTAAATTCGGGCAGCTACCCCAGCGAGCAACATTACCAGGGGTTTACTTCAGGTGATACTGTTTAGCGTTAAGTCAAAAAGGTTTACAGAGGGAGGAAAGGTAAGAATATGAAACTAAAAGTACCATTGTAGAGTCGCACTTTCGCACTCATATTAGAGACCGGCAGTTGTGGCACATTCAGCACTGGTCAGCAAAGGGAGCATCGTGTCACTTTTTTGTGCGATGTTGGTTTCTTGTATGCCTTCGTGTGCTGCAATGGTGAATGGTTTGCTTAGATATGTTCGAGTGCATGCTGTATGCTATACAATGTATGAGAGCGTGGTGAGCTTTTCGTGCGCGGTGTGCAGTAGACCTTTTATTATTTTTTATAATCATAATCGCTGTTTTTTTTGTTTATTTATTTTGTTTGTGATTTCTTTATTTCAAATTCTTTTATATTTTTCTTGGCCTCTTGAGACCACCCAAAAAAGATATGTTCGGTGAGAACTGTTGTCGTTTACCTCAATTTGCTCATCACGTGAACGTCAATTGGAGACCAACAGGAGTACACCGCTATGGCGTTCCACGTTAACGCTGACTCCTTACGGTCTGGGCATGGTGGCCGCTCTTTTTAGACCGCGTGATGTTTAGCTGAGGGGGACCATACAGTTCTCTTTTTTTGTCCCTATGGTTACCTTAATGCCCGTATTACATACATGTCTTACATGCCTGAATTACATACTCGCATACAATCACTTAGCTGGTGTCCTAACTGCTCAGTACACACTCTTCTCTTCCAAAGCGGTATAGACAAGACAATCTTTTGCAACAACTGAAAGAAAGCCGTTATATCCCTCATATACTAGAAGGGTGGCAAAAACTTTCCTCTTGGCTACCGTAACATTTCCTTTACTAGCATCCCCAGAAAAATCTTTGAGTAAATTATAAAAGAAGAAATCCTGAACGATCTTTAACTCAATAACCTCTTTTCTCGTTTCAAGGTCGGATTTCTACCCAGCAGATGTTTTATCACCAATATGCTTACTGTCATGTATAGGCTGACCAAAGCCTACGATGCCGGCAACATCTCTCATGGCGTACTTATTGAGTTTGCGAAGGCGTTCGACAAAGTTCCAGACATCCCTCTTTTTGAAAAGTTTGCGGCACACAGGATTTTATATTCCCTCCTAGCACTCACTCTTAGCTAACTCTCTAAATGCTCATTTACTCTGCGCTCTGGCACATCTTCATCACAACCTAGCCTAATCACAACCTGTATTTCCCAGAAATCCATACTGGGCTCCCTCCTTATCCTTATTTATATAAGGCACTAACACGTTGTAGTGTCAACAAGCATTGTGATGTACGCCCATGACATCATCCTCTGGGATATAAACGCTTCATTTTTCCGGGTCTCAATGATACAAAATGATGGTCTCTAGATTGCAATCCTCCAATCAACAATAAAACGTTTGTTGGAATGTCATTCAATGCTCATCCATCCCTCTCTGTTACGATAGACGTTTCCTACACTCTATCACGAGTGGACCAATATAAATTTCGTGGTTTCTGGCTAGACAACAATTTGCCTTTCTTTTGTCACTCCCATCTAGCCAGTAAGGCCGCTTTCGTGCCTTTATTCTCACAAAAAGATGTTTCCCCCGTATTCAAAAGGATGATGATTTTCCTCTTATTTACGGGAAGGACATTCGCCCTCTATTAGAGTACGGTAGCCAAGTTACACACTCCGATCTCATCCGAGTTCGTGACCGTATTGAGCGTGTCTAGAGGGCTGCTACCAATTCCGTACTCGAACAAAAGAACCTCCCTTACCCAACGCGCCTATAACAACTATGGCGTCTATCCGTTAGAAATTACTCTCATTAGGGACAATCTGTTTCTCTTCCATCATCTTTCTGACACGATTACTGTTGGAACATCCTTCATCATCGCTGAATACAACCCTGGTCAAGGTAGAGCAAAACATTTTCAGGTACGGTACAAATAGAGTGGTCACTATGTGTAACGGCAATATGAACAATGAGGCGGATCGACCAGGATGACACGGCATTAAAATCAACTTAGGAAAAAACACTGAATAAAACGATTTGAAGAACCTAGAATAGCTCACCAAACATTAGTTGACCGAGTTTGAAACTGTAACGGCAAACAGAACAGCGTTTAATACGAATTGCGATATCTCGACTTCGACTCACAAAATTTCCAGCACGTAGGAAAACTCAGTTGAACGGCAGTTAAAATTTCGTTTCTACTACAGACATATATCAAAACATACTTACAAAACAATCGTTAATCCCAGTTAGAGAAAAGTGAATAAATTCCAGGAACTGCAACATAACAGGATAAACAGTAGTAGATGCTAATAACTTGTATAAAAATCAGTTGACAGTTTTGTGTCAAAATAAACCGGATCGATGAAAAATAGGTTAATCCCGTTAGTTGTTCCCAATATTCATAATTACAAACTATTTATTAATAATGGAATTTAGATCTCACGTCCTGCGTATACTGTATATATCAAAGAAATTTAAATCTTCTATGACACTCTCAACTTAATATCGATACATAGACCGAATTACCATGGTTTTGGTGACCACCGTAGCAAAAAAGACCACATTCGAGTGCCTCACATTCCAGTTCAGTACCCCACAGAATTGCAAAACCTTCGCAGATTATAAAGATGTATTTTTAGAAAAATCATGAATCGTCGTTTTTCTCAGCTTGACTCTCCGTTGAAATTCGACAAACGCGCTGTTTAAATCAATTGTACACTTCAATAATCTATCGGAACTCCGAATATTAGCCAAGGCAAACAGCTTCAATTGGTCCAATAACTTCTGCGCCTCTCTAATTGAGGTAACTTATGGCGCATTCACTGCCTCACATTCATCTTCTTTGCGATGCTTTGCTTGATTTGATACGGATTAATCTAATGCCTGAAAAGAAAATCGATAAAAAATTTTAAATAACCCACATCTTCGTCATCAAATTCCAAACAGACAATTTCTTCTTCAAAAAGACGGTTAATAGTAGACACAATAAGTAAGGTCCTCGACCAAATCTCATTTATCCTCTCGTGGCTGCATCACCGGCAGAATCAATGTGGAGTTGAACCCAGGTTTCATGAAAGCGTTAATCAATACGTGCGGGTGCACAGACACCCAAGCTTTCTTAATCAGATGCACGGCCATGAGAATGTCTACCTCGGCTTTCATGATAACTTGCTCATCTTCGATCAAAGACAAAACATATTCCAGTAACTGCTTTCGAAACGAACATTCAAAAGACCATATCATGCCCTGATCCATTGGTTGTACTATTAAAGAACATTTCGGAGGCAGCCGTACCAACTTGACGTCGGAAAATACAGCCCCTTGGTTATGGTAGGGGCGTTGCCTATAAATAGTAAAATAAATCGCCTTTGAGAAACAATGTTGCTTTTGACATCGGACAGCCAACTGTAAAATGATCTTTCTTTGAATTGCCTGTAATACAAAGCTGTTTCATCTACACTGAAAATATCACCGTCAGCATATCCTTGCATCAACTGCAGTAACCTAGCTTGAAACTCATCCAATGCATCACGTGGTACTGCTAAACGTTCCCCACAGACCGATAAACTAAACTAAGGCACATGAGTTGCTTATTTTTTACTTTGTACGATTGAATGCCATATCTGTCTGACCAAGAGCGAAACCAACCTTTGGATGTCTTGAAGTCGTTATGATGTAATCTTTGTGCTATCTGGATTGCCTTCTTACGTACGATGCTCTCCACCACTGGAAATTCTGTGCTTTTCCCTCATAGCGGTAAACCAGGCCAAAGTTGCCTCATTCACCGCCTTGGATTTTTCGTTGGTTTTCAGGTGGCATCATCCTTCGGATGCTCCAGCGTTCAAAAGTTCCTAGATGATCGTTCGATGGGATACGAAATTGTAGAAAGTTTTTCGTGAAATTCCAAGTGATTTAACTACGGAGCTCTGAGTTTCCAACACAGTCTGTTTCTCTCTGATCTATGAGCGCTTGCGCATTTTGACATCAAATGACACTGTCTCCGATCACTTACATCGGTGTGACTTCCTCGAAAGGATCATCCAATCAGCGAGCAGTGCTATGAACGCCTCATACTAGGTGAAACACCGTTGGTTGAGTGCAGCATTTCAGGGTGGATGGTCAATGGTCGTTTCGAACACCGGTCAACAACCAAGTGAGTACCTATCAGAAACTGCAACATATTGGAGGAGGGGGTGTGACACCGCATAGTCAGAAACTACGCTATTAGGCATACGATTGGTTTGAGTTTTCGAAAAAGGGGGAAGATATTGGAAAACACGACTTCTCAGGGGTGCGACATAGCAGGAGATTGACTGTGTATTCATAATGTTCGAAGAATACAAACCTGTCCTAGTGTTATATTCCGAAAGGGCGGTGCTGGTCGAGGTGAGTTCTT